CCCCCAAAACCCCAAAACCCCAAAACCCCTAAATAGCCCCGAGCAGTTAGAACTAGTATTAATAATACTTAACAAATTAAATATGGGATCTGCTTTCTCTTGCTGCAAACCTAGCCAAGACCCGACTGAAGATGAGTCAAGGAGGAACACTATTTCTAGCGGAAGGTCGTTGAGGAGTCACCAGAGTGAGATCCTAGGGGTGGCCAAGATTGAAGCGAGCGCGTCTTTTCAGAAAGAGGATAGTGAGGAAGGGGAAAAGTCGAGGAAGAGGAGGAAAATTAAGCAAAAATCTGTGAGTTATGCAGGTTCTGTAGAGGAAGTGAGAATGGAGGAAAGAGAATATACCTCTTTGGTAAAGAAGGAATTGGATAAGGGAGATAAGGAGTCCCAGGTTAGCATAGATCGTCACGAGAGGGATTGTCCAGATATTGTTGATTCTTCTCAAGAGAGTGGTAAAATCAGTGAATTACATGGTGAGACTAACCATATTTCAGAAAAAAGTCAAACTCAGGAGCAAAGGGATAATCATCAGTCTAGTCATAACCTTGAAGCTAAAATTGATATTGCTCACAATGCAGAGGATCAGCCAAATTTATACCAAGAAAGTAATTTAAAGCCAAGGACAGATTCTAAGAGTAGTATTAAAGATAATTATGATGTGTTGAGCCAAAGAAGCGAAGTAGAAGAAATTGTAAAAATACAGAATTAGAGAAAAAATTTATGTATTAAATACTAGATGCTCTATGCTTAAAAATTAATAGCAATATCCAAATCTAAAATGAGCTTGTTCTTTTCAAAGCCTGGATCATTATAAAAACTAGCAATTGGAAATCAGCATTTAAATATAGCGCCATTAAAATTAATTCAATGATTTTTGATAAAAGATGAATAAAGATTTCAGTAAACTTCTATTTCTTTGTCGTGTAATTAGATTAAAAATTCTATCATATTCTTTGTACTCTATATTAAAAACAGGATATTTTGAAATTCAGAATTCAATAAAACTCACCTTAGGATCAAAAGTTTTATTAAATTCAATAAAAATTGATAAATTTAAACTTTCTCAAGCTTAAATGAACTTTAGAAGGAGCCTGATTATTTATCATTATCAGAGAATCCGCCACAGTCAACAGATGAAACTACCCCAGAATTGGAGCTCTCTCTGCCAAAAATTGCATCAAAGCTGATCCCTCAGGAAGATCTTTGAAAAGTAAGCACTTATTTTGGAAAAGACCAGAAAATAACTCCTGAAAATGTCGGAATTGGCCCTACATAATTTCTATGAAGGATTTATTAAGATATCACACTTAACCTTGAGAGATATTAAGGTAGCATAGCCTCACATTAAGCTCTTTGGAAGTTCTCTCATCTCCTTAGACTCCCCTACATCCTCTAAAGTGAGGGATCAGTTCCATTGATTTCTATTTTGCATAATAGTATTATCTGGTATTCACCCATATCAAAATTTTAATACTACTATTTTTGGAGCAACTGTTTAACTTGAATCGTGATTCTCTATGTCTTTGTTCTTTAAAGAAACTCCATCTAATGTTCTGACACATTCAAGAAGAAGCAATAACCCTCAAAACATTTTCTTGGTTATTAAGCCTTGATATAGTTATTAAGTATCCGAATAGCTTTAGTATTCTTCTGGATATACCATAATCCCAATTTCTCAAACTCGTCTTCCCAATTCCCATTCACTCTAACCATTTCTTCAGGAACTATCAATATCCTACTACACCCAGAGTGCCTTCTACACTCGTGTAGTAAATCCTTGGGATCAAATTCTGTTCGATCAGACTACTGAGTTGATAATTGACTTGTCAAATCCTGCTCACTTGGCACTTATCAATAAAATTAATACAAGACTTCCAGATTTAGATACATTGGTGATAAAGAATATTCCTGCTAGCAAGAAAAGAGCAGTCAAGAGATTCTTGAGAATTGGGTTCCCTAAGAGGTAATTTATTAGGCTTATGCAAAGAGAATACAATGCTACCTAAGTTTAGACTTGTATTAGAGAAATTAAGTAGATTTATTAACATTTTGCTTTAGTTTGAAGAGATTCTGGTTCAATGATGCTTCAAAATTAGACTCAATAGACTCTTATATGCGGGATCTTATGTCAGTATGCTGGAGAGTTACAGAAGAAGTGTCTCTTTCGAATTTTGAAATAAACGAAAAGACGATAGTACCTCTGATATGCACAAACAAGAACAAAATAATGTTCACTCTCTACGGCTGTAAATTAGTCATTTCTGAGATTCCGAATTTTGGTAACAGTCTATCGAGAAGTACTCTACAAGACCTGAACCTTGCCTACACTTGGTTTGACAGCGAGTTTGACTCAATTAGGTATCTGAACTTTAACGATCTGATATATGGCCTAGCTAGATCAAAAAGCTTCAAGTCAAACTTAAAGACAATTTCGCTTTGGACTTCTGACATTAATAACACTCAAGGGCTGGATATTGCTAAAGCTCGTGAAACCTTAAAGAAACAAGGATTTGATGACCTTGAAATTTTCACGCATCAGCAAGAAAATGAGCATGAGTATGAGTATGAATACGAACAAGACTATGAAAAAGATCAAGATTTTAATTATTAATGAAAATTCAAAAATTACCAAACTCTTGTTTCCACCATTTAATTATCTTCCTTTAACTTTAATTTAAGAGTATAAATTCAACATGCCCTTATCTCTACGGGGTTTTGGGGTTTTGGGGTTTTGGGGTTTTGGGGTTTTGGGG